ATTTTAGTAAAATATTATTAAAATGTTATATTTAATATTCTGAGAATATGCCTAAAATATTATTTAATATTAAATAATATTATGCGCTTATAGGGTAATGGCTTATTGTAGAATACGTGTAAGCAGGGAGCACAGACTTTTGCATAACGCATAACACATAAGGCATAAGAAATTCAACCAATCAGAGTTCTCCATTTCATGAAAAGGAAGGAAACGAAGGATTAAAAAGGAGTTATTAAATAATAAAAAAGATTTAAAAGTTTTACTGTGGATATTTCAATTACGAAATACAATAATTTATTGTTCAAGATTTAGCAGATTAGGTCTTGTAATTAGACAATATAAAATTACATGTATACTTTTTCAGCTAAATACATTTATAATTGAAAGAGTATACACCATATAATTTTAGCTTCTTCACGTATAACTTTAGCTTTAAATTTAGCTTCCATTAGCGTTACATTATTAAAATTATATTATAAAAATGAAAAATGAAAGGCTTTTATTTTTGGGTTTAATAATATCTCAATAAATGCACGATGTAGATTTTTACATTTATGTTTATCGTGATATATTTAAACATTTATAACATTTCTTTCTTTTTCCATAACTAGTACTAAAAAGCTAAATTTTATTTAAATTCGTCCTAAAATCAGTAGATAAAAAACTGGAATATATTCTGTGTGCACAATGCTGTTAATAGAAAGTAATTAAACATTGAAATATGCATCTTACTTTTCATTTGATTTCATTATCTTAATAAAGACTAATACTTTATTTAACACTTTGATTACCATGCCACATGTATTTAGTGGCGTATAAAATTTGTAGAAGTTGTATTATTTATTTGTGAGTGACAATTTTATTCACTCGATTAAAAATAATTTTATTTTAAAATTTGAGACAAAGAAACAACATAAATTATATTTTATGCATAATATTAAAAAGAACCATGAAATATTAAAATAAGTATTAGGTTTATTAAGTTCAGTGCCAAGATCAGTGTTAATGACTTATATAATGTAAATATAAATACTAACTTGACAGTCAGTATTAATTGGTAATGCACTATTATCAAATAAATAATGCTTGGCTAGAATTATCTATGTTTTGTTATTTAATGTGTAGGAAAAAAGATTAATTTGGGGATTATATGAATATAGTTATAATAATTTTGTTTTAAATTATTTTGCTTTAAATTACTCTTATAGATAATACACAATTGGATCATTCCTGCCTATTACTGTTCTTTGAAATACGACTAGGAGCACCTGATTTAATAATGGCTGCATTCAGCAGAGAAAACTGATCAGTGAGCGCACGATGATTCGTACGTTAATATGATTGGTTCCTTAAATTCAGCGATCGAAGAACTAAACACAAGAACCGATCATATGAAAGATTAGAAAAAGATGAAGAGTAAGTTTGAACCAAAATTAAAGTTAATTTACATTGGTAAAAACAGGCATAAGTCAAAGTTTAATCGAAGTTGTCAATTATATATTTCGCAATCCTCAAAAATGTCCGACGCACATCGGAATGAGAACCATTGCACCCCGACCTGGGGGGAGTCGATTGTGTATCTTGAAATAAGGTGAAAATTACAAAAGTGAACAAATTCATTAAAACATTCATAATTTAATTGGTTAATATCTAGTAATCGTTGCTCACTTTTGTAATTTTCACTTCATTTGAAAATACACAATCGAGCTCCAGGCACCGCGAAGCATAGTGAAGTTGTCCGCTCGATCTCCCATTCGCCGATAAGTCGCGTGTCCATGACGGTCATTCGTCCACTGGCCGTCGCCAGCCAATCATCGCGCGTGCGGAATGCTTCCGCGCCGCGTTACCGCTCGGCCGCGCCGCGCGAAAGTCACTCACGAATCCCACGATCGCGAGGTCGCGTCATCGCGACTGTCGCGCGCGACTGAGTCGAGTTGCTGCCAGTCGCTGCCGTCGTTGGCGCGACGTTCGCGCGATCCTCACGAGGAGTCATCTGACTCACGAGAAATCATCTGAAATCATCTCTGCTCTCCTTCAGCCGCGTTCCGTTTATCCGGAGGAGCGACAGTACACACGATCGCATTCTCCAACGATCGCGACTCGCACCTATGCGAACGTGGTGTCGCGTCGCGCCCCCGCCGTCACCGCCGTCGCCGCCACCGCGTTCCGCGAGCACGGCCTGCACGGCTGCTTGGACCCGCTGTCGCCGCCGCCGCCGTCGGCAGTCATCGTTCGCACGCGCGTCGCGACGCACCGTCGCCATTTCGCCGACCGGGACAGCGACGAGGACGAGGACGAGGACGCTGGCACGACGCTGACGCTGGCGCTGGCACGCGCGCGGCGATGAAGGAGAGCTGAGCGCGGCTCGCCGTCGTACATACGCCGGGCACACGAGGTACGTGTTCTCCGGGCGCATCCCCCGCGAGGCGACGCGATGCTCCGGAGTGAATGTCAGCGCATAAGAATGTCTTTCTTTTTTTCTTTATCGCTCACGCGTCCCGTCGTTCGCGTCATGCCGATGATTGTGGTTACCTCTTGTAAAACGGAGTGCACTTCACTGGAGGTGAACCACGGAGTCGCACGGATGTTTGTTTCATTTCACTGTGGAGACACTGACGACAACTGGAGGTTAACTTTTGTAAGCAAAGTATTCGCGGATCTTCCTGATAACGCGATGATGCGTGTTTGCTGGTCGTTAGAAATTTAATACTGAAGGTAGTGATTAATGATTTATTTTAAACAGTTGAGTGCTTTTGATATTCAAGTAATTTCTAGTATTAAGTTACTTATTTTGAGCATTAAAAGCACTGAACTGTTTAAAATAGCGTGATGTAAAATCGAGCACTTTCGTTGTTTAATGCTTTTATCGTTCAGTGCTTTTAACACTCGAAATTAAATACAATAATTTGATATTGGAGATTACTTATTTTTCGAGAATTAAAAGCGTTGTTGTTCAGTGCTTTTAATATTCAATTAATAAATAATTTCTGTTATTAATGACCAATATTAATATGGATTTCTTAACGGTTGGAAGAATCTCCTTTCGCCATATGGCTTTGTACGATACGATTACGACCTCGTTTCTATTAATGAAGATTAAAGTCGATGTTTCTAAGAGAGACCGGAGCACTCGCTATTCTGATCCTGTAATCTTGTAAGTTCGTGGTTCTTGCGCGGAAAGGAACATTAGAAATCCCTGCATCGTTTTACGTTCCGCTATTGTTGTTGCGTTGTGATAAAGTTAATCTCATGAGCTTATTTTTATGCACGTGTTTCCCGCGAAAGA